TTTTTTTTTTTTTTTTTTTTTTTTTTTTTTTTTTTTTTTGAAATGCAGTGACTGCCACTGCATCTAGTAGCAGATGTTGCCACCGTGTTGTGTGTGATGACATATTTCCTGTAATCTCTGTTTTTACCCTGCATAGTACAGAATCTTCTCAGTTGGAAAAGACCCTGAAGATCATCCAGTCCAACCATTAACCTCAAGCTGACCATCCTCAACTCCACCAGATCCCTCAGTGCTGGGTCAGCTTGTAACATTTAGTTTAGGTTGATTGTTGTTTCATGTTTTTTTTAAATATGGTTGCATGCTGAGCTAAAATCTTTGGTTTAGCCATATGCAGTGATACATAGGTCCTTCTTCAGAGTTACTTGATTTAGTACCTCGATGTGCAATTTGTTTAAATTCTCCTATGCAGTATAGGTTTACCTTTATTTCTGCCATACTACCCTGTTATTGAGCTGAAGCACCACCTGTCAAAATGCACCCAGGAAACTGCAGAAAAAAAAATAAATGCAAATTCACAATAAGCCAGACAGAGTTGAGAAGAAAGACTGTTTTAAGAAAAACTAGATTTACAATGTGAGCTACCTTGTCAAGTATTTCAATTCTAACCCATTAAAGGCTGCAAACCAGAACAGAATTGTGCATCTATTAAAAGTATAGTTATACTAGCCAGTAAAAGCAAATTGCTGAAGCTTCCCAATTTATTTCTTATTGTCCTGTGTACTTTGTCAGGGGCATGTTTTTACCAAGTGCCCATGAAATGGAAGAGATTAGATTAAGAGATTAGTTTAAACCACATCACTTGGGGCTCAACCTGAAAAAGTTGTACTCCATTCCTGAGGCAGACCAACAGCTGTTTTGGACCTACAGATGATTGATCACAATAGCAGCATGATTGCCTGGTTAGTGCAACAGTACTTTTATAAAATGTATTAAAATAGTTTATTGATGAGGCAAAATCAGGGTCTGAGGAAGCAGGGGGTTTTTGTTTCATCTAAGGCAGGTATTTCCTGTGCTGTGGTCTTCTCCAATAGCAGAATACAATTGAGCAAGATTCTTCAAGAGCCTGAGCAGGGATTTTGGGAAAAGCCCTGTGTGGTGCTAAGGCCTAGATCACACAGTCCTAAGCTCATTCCTTTTCTCTTGATGGAGGTCTCCTTAGGCTTCAACTAAACAAAACTGTAACCTGATACTGTCGTGGCCGACAGATGGGATTTATAGGCGGGCATTGCTCCCCAAGATTAGTTCTGGGGTACAGTGATTGTTGAACACTAGGCTCACAAAAGCAACACGCTAGTTTTTTCTGCCCTCAACTTGTTCGTTTAATACAGTCTGACCTAAGCAGCAGGCACTTCTTCCTTGCTTCTCTTCAAATGATACAATAAAATATGCCAAAGATAGTGTTAAGGGAAGAAGGTGAGTCACTGCAAATCTACTGAAGGCTGCTAGTTGCAACAAGTGCTCGGAACATAGGTGTTCTGACAGGAGTCCTTTTTTTTTTTTTTTTTTTTCCTGTTCACTTTTCATGAACAGACAACGGACAGGGCTAATTTCCCATAAAAGGTGATTCCTTAATGTAGGTGCTGTTACACTAACAAATATTTTAAAGGATTAAGAGAGCTGCAGAAACAGTGCCCTCTACCTGATTTTGGTAGGAGTAAATTAGGTCTAACTGTGCTGCCCTGAATCAGCAAAAGACTGCAAGGTTGGTCAAACTTTTGGAGTGATGTCTGTATAAGGACCGAGTAAGCTAGGACTTGTCATTCTGGAAAGAATTCAGGTGCACATTCAAGGCAGAGAGGTAAGACAAAAATTTACAAAATAGTATGGAAAAGATTAATAGAGATAAATCTTTCTGAAACTAGCTTTTCCTAACTTTGATGTCCCTGGTTTTGTATTGGAAGAAACAAATAAAAGGAGGTAATTCTCAAACAAGAAGCAGACCTGTGCAACTTCTCATTAGGGTCCTGCCAGGGTCAGCAGATACAAAGTTTACAAGGGTTAGAAGAGAAATGGGATAAATCTAGGATTAGAGATCCATCGAGGATTCAGTAAAGCATATCAGGCTCAGGAAATCTGAATTTTAGTCAAGCAGCCTATATGCTCATTTTGTTGATACCCTTTCCTGGGCATCTCCTTATGGCCATGGTTGGAGACAGTTTACAAGCTAGCCAGACCCCTGTTCTGATCAGTATGACTGTTCTTTTATGATCATAACCCTTAAAGCTGTTTGGGGTGTTTTGTTTTTTTGTTTTTTTTTTTTTTTAAATTAGTATTAACACATATGTTTAATAACCACATATGCTTTATGACAGGGAGATATACACCCACTGGTTAAATTAATCTGTGTACTCAGTAATTATTCCTCAATGGGGAAGTTTTTTTTTTTTTTTTTTCTTCTAACAATTTTCTTGCTTCAGCAGTACAACGTAAGCTTTTCTCCTTCCTGCTGTTGGTTCTGTCTTCATTAAGATGATAGAAACTTACATATCCCTTTTTCAACTCACATCAGACCTTTTGCTTTATATCCATCAACCTACCTACCTCTTCTTTTTGCCCTTTACTCCTCTGACTTTCAGGACTAGAAAGGATGGAGCAATCAACTATGTTTACTATAGTTGTATATCTCAAATGCAGATGCACATTAAATACTAAATTCATTACTTACCATTCCATGAATTTTTTTTTTAATTCTTGCTGGGGAATGCAATAAAACTGCAAATTTATTTTCCCACCTAGGTGTCTGGACAAAATGGGGAATGGGTCAATGAAACCCAAGCATCTGAGGCGGCTGGATAGACATGTAGCAAACCTCTCTATTGGCTGTGCTGGCAACCATAACTTTTTGAAGGACTCAGGTCTAGGCATCAGTATGATCAGCGGGCAAGCTGATGTCCTTTGCAGCAGGTTGCTTGAACTGGAAAAGGACCTGAAGAGAAAAGATCAAGAGTTGCAAGAGGGTCAAAGTCGTGTTGCTGAGCTTCAGGAACAGCTGGCTGTGCAGACTAAGGTCATAGCAGAACTCACCAAGGAACTTCAGAACAAGTGTATACAGTTGAACAAGCTGCAGGATGTTGTTAGCACTCAAGGAGAGCACTCTCTTCAGCCTTCTCCACTTAAAGAGGCTTCAAGGATACAAGACACTGCCAATAGGAGGAGAAGAGCCAAGGAAGGTGTGTCTGCAGAGCCCACAACATGGCTGTATGATTTGAACAGGCAAGCTACGTTTTCCTTTGAAAAAGCAAGAGTTCAAAAGGATTCCAGGTGAGCTCATTTCAAGGGAATTTTATGTTCTGTCACAAGGATATTACTTTTATCACAATTATATTCTCTCCTCATGAAAAAGATTTAGTAAAGATTTAGTAAAGATTAAAGTATCAATCTTTTTAATATAGGTTTGTCACTGTGGTTGTTAGATGCTGGTTGAGTTTGTATGTAACTTTAACCAAGAATCATCTGTGTCCCACAGACTTCAGATGAAGAATGGTGGATAGCCTCTGTATTTTGGTTGAGAAGACTCTTAGAGTCTATTTGGGATTTATCTGTACTGCCAGCTAAGCAGAACCTAAGCCTCTTCTCAGGTTTAGGTTTGCATAGTGCTTGCAGCTTGAGCTATACGATGGAACACTGATGAGCAGAAGGCTGGATGCCTCCCCATGCATTCAGATTCATTCTCCTGTATCATGGAAGGCTTGGGAAGGAGCAAGTGGCCCCAGCTCAGCTCTCTCAGACGTAATATGGACACTGATTCTGAGCTATGTACAAAGTTTGTCAGCCCAGTTTCAACTCAGTCTGGTGCAAAATATAATGTTTTTGATTATCCTCTTAGCAGCTTCCTCCTGCTCTCCAGCTTCTGATAGTCGTGGTGTAGGAACCTAATTTTACTTGTTCCTCTTGGAATCCAATTATACTTCTAGTCACTGCAAAAGCCAGAAATATCTGTGGTCACAGCTGACCTTGTAGACAGAGGTATCAGACTGGTATCCTTAAACATATCTTAGACCCTCTTTTATCTTGTAGTGTAGACATAACCTTAGTATCTGTTAACATGGTGGTAGCCAGAATCTATCTGGACTTCAGGCAGCAGCTTAAGTGCTTCAGATTTGTGGGGAGCTTTATTATTCTCCTAAGAATTCATGATGTATTTGAGTCTGTACTGTAGTAGACCTGAGAATTATCAGACTTGATTTCTCATCCATCATGTCCAGCATTGCACATTAGAGGCTGTTTTGTGAACCAGAAAGGCTGCCTGAGTCACTATAAGGAGCAGAAATCTTCGGCTAGCAATGTTTTTCCAGAGTAAGGGAACTGTATTTTATCACAAGTACCTGGGCAGTTTAAATACCTATTTTCTTTAGGAGTGTTCCTTTTGTACTTACTTATCTTCTCCTTGGCATGATCCTTGTACTGCAATCCACCAGATGGGTTTCTAGGGTGCTTTCAGAGAAAGAATTGTAGCAGCACTGAGGAGCGAACCGAAAGGAAGAGCCAGTTGATGCAACACAGACTTTGTTTTTCAGAACAAAACCAAATATTGCAGCTTAAGTAACCCAAATGTAATGCTGATCATGTGATAGAGACAGAGCTGGAACTTTTCCTTCTTGATTCAGTGGCTCAGCACTTCTAAAAACATTTTTGTTATATGCCGTGTTTTCTTGTTTTTCTAAAAGATTTAGTGTAACATAATGGGATACAGGAGAAGTTCTCTTACTTTTCCCTCCTGTCATCTCTTAAAATCTGCTTCAGAGATTGTCATTGTTACTGCTAAGGCTCCCATAGATTCATAACAATTTAGAACACACCATTCCTAAATTTGTTTTTATATTTACTCCTATGGAAACAACTGACTGCTTAAGTATGCACTGTATTGACTGTAAGACACACCATCCTCTGCTCTTCTTCCCACCATTTCCAGCTTTTCTATGATACTGTTTGTAACTTTTTTTTTTTTTCCTCTTCGGTACTTGCAGAGTCTTGAATTTTCATTTAAATTCTTGTCTGCCATTAAACTTGGATTTGTCTGATAATTATTGTCCTTAGAGTAAGTAGCTTGAGAGTGAAGTGGAACTCATAATTTGTTTGATTATCTAGTGCTAGGAAGTGTACCAACTTGGACAGAGCAATTAGCATTAGAGAGTTTGCCGCGTGTTCTATACAAGAAAAGAAGTTGCTCTTCAAGCTTCAGTGTGAAACTAAGTAAAACCAATTTTGGACATGCAACCAGATCTTCAACTTTTAATAGTAAAATATTAATTTAACATAAGTGTATGAGTTTCAACTGACTGAAGAGCTCATGTAAACATCTTTCATAGGAGTCAGGATTATGATGGATTATGATAGATTATGATAGAAGAAAAACACAGCAGCCCTGTGGGAAAGGACTTGAGGGTACTGGTGGATGTTAAATTGAACATGAGGTGGCAACGTGTGCTTGCAGCCCAGAAAGCCAACCGTATCTTGGGCTGCATAAAAAGAAGAATGGCCAGCAGGTTGAAGGAGGTGATCTTCCCCCTCTATGCCGCTCTGGAGACCCCACCTGCAGTGCTGTATCCAGCTCTGGGGTCCACAGCACAAGAAAGACATAGACCTGTTAGAGTAGGTCCAGAAGAGGGCCACGAACGTCATCAGAGGCCTGGAGCATCTCTCCTATGAAGAAAGGCTGAGAGAGTTGGTGTTGTTCAGTCTGGAGAAGAGAAGCCTCCAGGGAGACCTTACTGGGGCTTATATGAAAGACTTTTTACCTAGGCCTGTAGTGACAGGACCAGCAGCAACAGTTTTAAACTGAAAGAGGGTAGGTTAGACTCAATGTAAGGAAGAAGCTTTTTTTACAATGAATGTGGTGAGACACTGGCACAAGCTGCCCATAGAAGCTGTGGCTGTCCCCTCCATGAAAGGGTTCAAGGTCAGGTTGGATAGGGCTTTGAGCAACCTGGGCTAGTAGTGAAAGATATCCCTGCCTATGGCAGGAGCACTGCATTAGATGCTCTTTTAAGTTCCCTTCTAATCCAAATTATTCCATTCCCCCATCCTTTCCTCCATCATCTTACAGTCCTCTTGAATATCAGTACATCATCAGAGGGGCTAGAATTAAGAAAAAGTGATTTATAGGGTATCGTAAGTATTCAGTAGATCGTTCCAGACATTAAAAGTTTATTTTCTAAGAATAATTAATTTATCTTCAACTTCATATTTTACCTAGTGTTTTAAAACTTAATTTTCTGCAATTAACCGTTTTCCAGCTTTAGCTTTAGTAGGAAATAAAGTGGCAGTCTTCCTGTGTTTTACATGTAGGTCCAAGAGCATGTAGTCGGGGAGACAATTAAATAGCAGAATACGGTCTTGTATTATTTGCATTACAGCAGGTGGGGTTTGCTGTTGTTGTTTGTTTATTTTTAGTGATGCTTTGTATTAATGTTCTTTTTAGGCTAACTAGTCATGTAAAAGACAGGTCAGACTAGTTTTGGATTTGCACACAGCTTAGACCGTGCCCAAGAGTTCATGTCTTCGAACCTTTAGCTAAGTTTCTGAAACTTAAATCTGGCTTATTAATGGTATTTGTCATCTGCTTTGAAGTGATCAAAGTGACTTTGTTCAAAGTCTTAAGTCTTTGAAAGACTACAGTACGGCATGTATGGGTGATTTGGGTTAATACATATGAAAGATACTAATGAAACCTCAATTCTTATGGCATAATCAATTGAAAAATTCTTGAAGATCATACTCAAAGTATTTGTCATTTGCAAGTAAACATTTTTTTCCTGCCACAGCCAGTTCAACATTAGATACTGCTCTATTACAACTCTTAGACCTGGACAAAATGCTTTTTAAAATTACCCTTATAGAAAATGTATTTTATAAGCTAACATACATTATAGTCACAGCGGGAAGAATTTATGCTTTCTCCAACAAATCAAGTAATAGTGAAAGATCTTGCTCAGACTTGAGGGGGGGGGAGGGCAGATACATGTTTTGATGTGATAGCGGCCGAAGTATTGTTTGATCTTCAAATTACTTTGGAAGCAAACAGATGTGAAAAAAACACCACAAAACTGTTTTAGACATGGCACTACTATGCATCTCAGTTAGATAAGCCTGTGATACACATGTGGTTGTTTAAGCCACCATCACCTTGCTCTTGAGACAACCAACTGCTGGAAGGTGCAAACATTTAGTTTCCTTATGTGGGCTGTAAATACTGTAGCAGGTCAAATTCAAACAGTTGGCATACATGTAAGGACAAAGTCTGACCTTTACTGTTTACAGAATTCTGTCCCCTGTGATTAAAAAGTACTGATCCTTTAGCCTCACAGTGTCTCCAGAAGTGTTTAGAGTTGCTGATATAAGTAGTAAGCAGCTGCCTCCCCTTTACAGAGAGAGGACTTAATGCAGCCAGCTCCACTTCTGTGTAAGACAACTGCACAGTGTTGCTATGTAGTTGCAAAAGGAGCTATTTTGAAAGGAGCTATTCCAGAAGGAAGGGAAGCTCCATGCTTTGTTCTGGAATTTGCATTGAGTCCAGAGTGTTACCAGTCCCTTTTAGAAACATTTGTAAAACAAATTTTATGCACAATTTTATGCCATTCTTTTAAGCAGGGTTTTAAGTGCCATGCTTTTGTTTGGGGTATCTCCGCATGAATGATTTTAATAAAAGTTTAGAAGCTTTCAGTGATTTTCGATCTATCCCATAGGAGTGGATGTTTTCTCATGTATATATTTCATCTCTTAAGATGGTTGGATAAATCCATCTCAGTTTCCAAAAATATGAGTTTTTCCTAAATGGAAGTTCAAACATTGAAAATTTAACTAAAGGCTGAAGATTTTAGAATTTGAACATGGTATATGAAAGCAGATCTCTCAAACAAGTCTTTCAAATGGAAAACGTTTGAATCTCTTATCCTTTGCAGGGTTAAGAATCTGGATGTCTCAGTACCTATAGGACTTGGTTCTCCATTTTCCTGTGTCCTTCCAGAGCATGCTGTCACCATCAGCAGCGTTTAAGCTGCCTATATCAAGTCCCTTCCCTTTATGGGCTCAGGATCATGACCCAGTTATCAGCTGTTATTGGTTGGCTGAGAACTCTCTTGACATTTGCCATTGATTACCAGTCAATGTCAGCAGATAACCAAAAATCTCTCATTAGTAGCTGAAAGGTATATTAAAGAGAAAGTATTGCTCTGCAAAGTATATGTTCTACCCTTGTACCTGTTAGTTGATATCTTCTATCTTCTGATGGGAATAAATTCCCAATCCTTTTCACAAAAGCCCTTCTTAGAGTGTCAAGTGCTATTTCTAGGGGTTGACTGGGAATGTATTGAAAGGGGCAGGGGGAACATTTCCACAACAGTTAATAGCAGGGAGGGGAACAAAGCCTGGAGAAGGATGCTATGGCAAAGCTAGCCCCAGGCAGTGAAGAAAAGTCCTACTAGTGTGGGGACCAAGAAATACCACAACACTAGAACAGTTGTGTGGAGCTGTGGACCCACTTTTCAGCCTTTTATTCATATTCCCAACTGACACAATTACATCATTAGATGTCTTCTGTCCTTTCAGGACATCTAGTTACTTCCAGCAGCAGTTCTCAAAAGTGGGGCTGTTATAGGAGAGGCTGAAGAAAACAATGGAGAGAAAACTGTTAGATATTTTGCTGGATGCCCATGAAATGAGCAACTGATTGAAGAGCCTGCACCGTGGTTACGATACTCATGTGTCCTTCGCTCTGTGGTAAACTGCACTTTCCGAGGACAGCATACACTCCTATTCTGTAGTTCTGGAAGCTTTAGTGCTTATTTTAAGTATCAATTTATGAGCCATTACTGTATTTTATTGCAGTGTTGTATGCATGATGCAGGCCAGGGCGAACTAAATAAGCAGGGTTGTTTTTAGTAGAAAACAAAGTTAGAGCTTATATTCTAATAACCTTGTTGCCTTCAGCAGAAGCTAATTTATGATCTCTATTTCTAAACACAATCCTCACCATAGCTACTTGATTTAATTTTTCTTGCCTCATCTCATTACCTTTACTTATTTTCAGTCATTATATGGCTAGTAACATTGTAAGTCTGCTTACTTGCCTTAACTGATTGTTCATTCCTGGATTTTCCCTCAGGAGATTTTCCCACTTAACCTATTTTTGAAGATAACCTTGCATTGTTTTATGAATACAAGCAAGTGTGGACCTTAAATACCTTAGAAAGCTGTTAAGGTGTTTATTTTGTTATGCAGCTTCCTTGCAGGTGCACGTTAGGAACATGGGGACTTAAAGGCAGAATTCATCTTTCACTTCAGCAATAAAAGAAGGCTTCTCAGTAGGTTCATTAAAGCTCCATCAGTGCAGCAGTTAATTGCATTCATTTCTGGCATGGATCCAAGGCACTATTTTATAGGAAGCCCTTGACCCAGAACATATGCAAGTCAATCAAAACTGATTGTTCAGTCTGTATGCATAGCCACTTTGTCTCAGTTGGTTAATCATTATTACTGAATGAAAGTTGTTGTTACTGGATTCATCCACTGTTGATTTTTCTTCATTTTCTCAAAATCCAACCACAGGACTCTTCCACCAGCAGCTGTACTTGTCTTTACAAGTCTTTACAACTCGCTCACTTACATGCATTTAATACTGCAGGAAATGATGCAGAGGCTCTGTCTCAGGGAGCAGCAAGAACAGGGCTGCTCCACTTAAGTGACCAACGGGTGACTACAGTACAGACTAACTAACCAGGGCACCATCCCACAAGGTCTGGACAGGGTAGGCAGAGCAGGGTGGTGGTAACAGGGTCCACCAGGAGTCCCACAGAAGAAGAGATCAGTGAGATGTAAGCTTTCACCAAGAGGCACAAAGTAGTTATAATATTGGGCCAATACCCATCCAGAAGACAAAACCAGCATCAGCTATTTCTATAACATAGCTCAGGTTTGGGCAGCTCACCAGAGCTTAAATAGAGTATGCAGGCCAATGGGCAGAGGATGCATGGGTGGTGGGTCACAAGTGAGGCTGGTCATGGTAGTTAAAGCCCATTACTGCACCCAGGGCCCTGACAGACTAGTCCTTGATCACTGATGTGCCTACTTTACTTGCCTTTTTCTGACTTTTACAGATGCCCTAAAGCTTTTCTGAAGACTTTTTAACAAAACAATGGTATGATGGCCATAGTTTGCTATAGCATCACCAAAGTGCAGGATAATATAAGTTTAATTTCCCTGAATGCTGAATTTCAGAAAGCAAAGAGGTCAGCACTAATGGCTGCATAACTATATCCACAAGCTTTTGTGTTATATTTTTACTTCTGATTATACCTTAAACATTCCTAAAAGCAGTAGAGGAAAGGCCAGCTTCGGGAAGATTCTCTTATGTCTGGTCATTCTTAAAGAGACAGATTATATTGGGCATCCCACATGAGCAGACTGGTACTAGCAGAGGTTTTTTACTCAGGTAAGAGCATTTATGCTGCTGTTGTCATCTGTGCAAAGGACGTGGGCACAGCAGAGGTCAGAGGAGTTTTGTGAGGAGGTGGATGGCAAAGAGCAGTGTGGGAGGGATCAGCAGTAACTCTCCACCTCCACACACACTTCTCCTGAAAACTGGAATTGTTTTGTTAATTTTGGAACAGTTGTTGTGCAAGGTTTAATCCTTGCCGGGATCAGGGACCACGTTGCCGTTGCCCCTCCCCCACCTGCACTGGTCAGGTTGGAAGTTAGACACAGACCCTGGCTAAAATAACAAGAAATTTAATACAACAGAGCGATAGAACAATCTGAGCAACAACAGTATCAATGGTAACAACAATAAACAGCAATAACAGTGAACAAGACAAATGATATACAGAGAAATACCGCTAGCTGGTCTACGGAAAGCAAAATTCCCTCCCGAACTCACCAAAGAGCAAGGTGAAAAGGCTCCGCCCCTGGACCTGACGTCAGCATGGTATGAATAACCCGTCTGGAGATCCCTTCCCCCTCTCTCTCTGCTGGGGAAAACTTTACTCTATCCTGGCTGAACCAGGACAGTTGTCCAACAGGTTACTTTGCAAGCTGACCTTGTGATTGTGTCCTGATCATGCTTAGTAGCTATGAACAGGGAATGCCACGGGATCAACATTACTTTGCAAGTGGAAGTTCTTTGGAGTAATTAAAAAAATTACATTCATTTATTACTTGTCTCATTCTTCCCACCAGCAATGTCTTCTAACATTCTCCTAAGAAATAGCAGCACCTGTTATTTGTGGTTTTGCATATCTTTCCTTGCATCTTTTCTTACCACAAAGGAGAAACTCTTGATGGAGTCTTAGTGACATCAGTGTTGACTTTAACCTTATTGCTATCATCAGTGTTATGTTTTTGCTGGGTATTAGAAAAAATGTTAGAAAAGTGGACCTGATTTTATAACAAGTTGCCATTCCTGTACAGGCAGTGAAGACATACCTTTCACATTTCTTTCCTTCAGATAAGCAAGGCTATAGACCTTAGTTGTATAATGGGGAAAGAATATGGTGAGAAACAGTGCAAAACTGTCTGGGAAAACGTGTCTTCTACTGGGAGCCTTTTTACATCTAGCCGGATGCTTTCTGCAGACAGGGTCACACAGGAGAAGAGAGGGCATAGTGTGGCACAGCTAATGGGATGCATATTAACTGCAAGGATGGTAAAATTTGCCAGTGGAGTACCAGTAGCTCATGTGAGTGTTAGAAATGAGAGGAAGCATCTTGACAGGAATGAATGCCTGGTGAATAGCATCCCCCAACCATGCTGGATCTGTTAAACTCTGTTTTTTTGTTTGAAACCAGTGAGAAGAAGCTTATCACAGATGCCCTGAATAAAAATCAGTTCTTGAAGAGACTGGAGCCTCACCAAATCCGAGATATGGTGGAATGTATGTATGAAAGGACTTTCCAGCAAGAAAGCTACGTCATCAGACAGGGAGAGCCGGGGAATCAAATTTTTGTGCTCAAAGGTGAATACTGCTTACTTGTACAATGCACAAGTGCAAGAAACAGGCAAGTAATGTAGAAGTCTTTGCAGGAAACAACAACGATGATGTTTGTGCTCTTAAATTTATGCTGTCTCTGCTGAGGGCTATGCAAGTTTTACCCATCACTTTTATGAAACAGACTGAGAGCAACAAAAAGAGTCTTAGGAACTTGAACCTTGATTTAATGCTATTTTATGACCTCTTTCATTTCTGAAAGCCTAGAGGACACAAAATCCTTCCTGTTGTAGGTACAGTCAACCCTTTCTTCTGCAAAGGAAGAGCAGGTATAATTTAAAATACAGAAAACTGGTCAATGGTGAAGCCCTTTCTGAAATAAACTTACTTTTCAACATTCATAAGAGCTTATGCCAGTTTTCTGTGTATGGGAAATTGAGAGATGAGGTCTGAGTTTAATGTTGTCAAAGCTTAGAATTTTTTTAAAAACAGCTGCTTGTTTTTTCTGGGGAAAAAAAACAATAAAACAAAAAACAAACTTTAGGATAAGAAAACTTTCCTAAAATACTGCCAACAGTTCTGAAGTAATCTCGCTGCAGTCGTCTGTGCTGATTGCTACCATACTTACACTCAGATCACAGAAAAGCCATAGTGGAGTCCAAACACACCTGAAAGTTGCTTCTAGCGGCAATACTCTCTTTCATCATCTCACCATTGCAAATTAATCACAAATACTGATTATTTTTATACTTCATCAATTCTGGACCAGTAGAAGGCCCAGAGGCTCATATGAATTAGGCTTCATGCTGTATATTCTGTTGAGGTAGGAATATTTAAACCAGGAGCATACTGGTATATGTTGGAAAGCACATTTTGTCTTCTGGCTTCATATGGATGGGTTAGTTTGAAAAATTGATGGTGGCTGTGTTAGGGTAACATAGATGGTGCAAGGGGCAAGAGGAGGTAGGATTTGTAATGGGGTAGTCATATTCTTACTAGAGAAAATAATAACATTTTGAAAAACAGATGAAATATGAGGAAGAAGTTGTGCCTCAGGAAATTTTTCTGGCACATTAGACCTTTTTTGAGGAGTCAGTGGGTGTCTTGGAGAGAATAGGGCCAAACTCATTAGAATATGTTTAAGGGAAAGGTGTTTTGGGGCCATAACCTATGAATAAATTCAGACTTTGACTTTTGCTAGGTTTGTAGTAAGGCTCAAGCACAATTTCTTAAAGGAAGATTTGATGTTCTCTTTGTTTTTCTGCTCTCTCCTTTGCATTCTGCACATATCTACACATATGTGTGTATGAACAGACAAACCTCATGAATAATTTCTCCTGTGATCACTATTTTAAGACTTATTTGTCTACACTGCACTAGACTATCTGAACCAGTACTGTTTTGTTGTAGCAAAGGTTTTTCCCATCAGGATTTTTTTTTTCCATGGCTTTTTTAGTGTTAAAAAGTTTATCTCAGCTTTTCCTCCCTTCCAGAGCAGATCTGTAGATTAGCAATACATTTTAGAAAATATCATTTCTACTGGTTTGTATGTGTGCTTCAAAGCACTATTTGTGTCGTTGCTGCCATTCCTGTGTTCCAGGGAGTGGCAAAGGCAGAAATATATTGATTTGTTTTCTCTTCACTCTGTGCAGCTGAGCTCAGTTTTAATGCCTATTATCTCGGTTATTTTTGACAGAGGGGAGTCTGGAAGTCTTTCAGCAGAATAAACTCCTCTCCTCAATACCTGAGTGGACAGCATTTGGTGAACTAGCCATTTTATACAACTGCACACGCACTGCCTCTGTGAAAGGTACTGAAGGTTTATTATGACAATGTTGGTCAAAATGAAAATTATGTACTTTTGTGAAGTCCCTGTTATAACTTTCTTTGAAGTTTTCATTTAATAGAAGTCCACATGTCCACACTATCTACAGGAAGCTCAAGTTAGCTTCCGTAAGTTTTTCTGATTGGGAACTCTATTAATACTATGCCATGAATGTAATTCCATCTCCAGCATAACCTTTGATAAACAATTAGGCACCTCCAAAGTATGCTGGTTAGCCAGATTTGTATCAAACTAACTGCTGAGGAAGCATTATGTTTTAATGTTGAGTGATTTAGTAGCAGTAGTGGTCTTTTGTTCTTATGTTCTTGTGTCAAATGCAACTGTGAGGGTAAAATTACAGCAAGTTTGAGAAGATATTAGAACTGTGGTGTTTTTATAGAGCAGATAAAGCCTAATTCAAGAGGAAATAAAATAAGTAGGAATTGATTGCTTTTGTACTCCTTCTGTATCATTAAGTTACTGAGTCTTGCCAAGATCTATTTGCACCTGGCATTTGCGACTAGAACTTGGGAGAAGATTTGAGATTGATCTCAAATGTGGTAGTGAGAGAGATGAAACTTCTAGGTGTGACATGCTGCTTCTCTGAGGTGAATACGGGCTCTTGCTTTGTGTTTACCAGCTGACCAGGATGGAGTTGTTAAATGTTGCTTTGATACAAATATCCCCTCTTCCTGAGTAAGACTGGGTATTCACCCATTAAGTACCCCTTGATTCCTTTTCTCACCTGACAGAATTATCCTGTGACAGACCAGTAAGTGACCAAATATGATTAAATTTATATTTTTTTCCACTCTCCACCTTTCCATAAATATTACTAATTTCTGTTCTTGTCTAAATCTGCAGGAACTTTGAACCACCAGTAAGTATGAAGAGCTCATGTTGACTTAAAAAGGAGGAAATGGAATAAAACAAGAAGTTGTTCACTTTAAAAGCTTCTGGTCTTTCTTCCTGCACCCAGTTTGAGCACTGGTGACTGCAGAAGGAAATTATGACATGTAATCTGTTTTTTTGCTGCCTGATGAACAGAACAGCATAAATAATTATTCTTTTCCTTACTAGCATACTGTTGTACTTTAATATATTCTCTATTTTCCTTTTTTGCCTGCTGTATAGTATTACCATTATAAAGTACTGCTTCTGCATAGTAAGATGTCGTGCTGCTTTAGACCTTTGTTAACATTAATTCGTTTTAAGGTAGGACAAGAATTGTCCAATTATGGACAAGAAAGGGTGTTTGAATATGTAAAATCACTGCAGGAATCCACCCTTCCCCAATAACTTTCCTATGTTTCTTGTTGTGGAGGAAGAACAGTACAATGACATAACTGAGCATGACTAGTCAATATGTATGTGAAAACTCTTTCAGTCTAGTGACACCCTTTACCTGCAGTCTTTGAAAGCTGACAAGTGAAGGAGTTTAGCCAGACAACATTTCAATGTCTGCTGCTACCCAGCAGCCTCTTTACATGCAGTGGCTGCATTTGAAACTGGGAACATGATTTACTCCTATGTTTCTGCATTTCTTTATCTCATCTAAGAGATTACAGACTTTTTTTCTAGCTATTATTTGCTTTAGGTGCAAAATACAGGAAATGCATTTGAGATAGCTTGGATACTTGCCATATTTTCTTCATGCAAAATAAACTGGAAGATGTTATTTAGGAGAAAAACAAAACCAAAGCAATATCATTATTCTCCCTACTTGAGCTATTTTGATAAATGTCAGTTAAGAGCACATGTGTATATCAGGGTTAAGTACAAAGACCAAAGACCGATGACTGTGCATCACTTTTAAATCTGGCATTTTTCTTTCCTGTGAATATGATTCTACGTTTATGATAAATTGAAGAAATCAATTGCTCTAAATTTTTCTGTAGCTTTCCTTTATCCCAGAGAAAAGTTTTGTTCCTTTTTATGACAGAAGGAAAACTGCTGAATATGGTGTAGCATCTTTTAAAAGAAGAGATTAAATTAAACAGAATCACCTCATTTTGCTTAAAAAAAATAAAAAGTGCAGTGTGCTCTGTTCTGTCAATGATTGCACACAGAGGCCACAGTGGTTTGCATCTTTGATGCTGGATTTTATGCATAGTTACACTATTCATATTTTTATTACTTTTCAAAAGATAATAATTAATGTTCTGATTACCCTTTATTCACTTATAAAATGGCTATATTGGAGGAAAACTGTGGAGATCACAGGATTGAATGAAATGAAATTTATTTCTTGACTTCTGTTGTGTCTATCTTATCACATATCTCACAAGCATGTGATATGAATTAAAGATGTATCCAAGCCATCAACCTTTAACTCATAAGTTTTGAAAAACTTCAGCTAAGATTTTGTTTCTTTCATATCCACTCCTTGCAGATGACATTGCAGCTTTTGAGTGCAATGACTGTCTCTCATTAGAGGTAGATCTTCACAAGCATTTAGCTCTGTTTGTGCTCGTAGTAAATGGCTGTTTTTTCAAAGTTACTCAGCCTGGGAAGTTGCATGGAAAATGCTCTATGAAGGAACCGTTTGGAAATCTGTGCGTTACTTTAGTGAGCATTGTTTAAGTGGAAGCTGAATTCTTTTAAAAGTCTGGTTGAAGTAGGTGCTGGATATTTTAAAATTTGGCCTTGGGCATCTTGAAAAGCTAGTCTGTTCTTGTACCATGACCTGATACTGTAATATCTTCCATCAAATCCTTCAGAAACATTGTTGATTTTCTTGTTGGCTTTTGTTTTCTTAAAGCAATCACCAACGCTAAAACATGGGCATTGGACAGAGAAGTGTTTCAAAATATCATGAGAGTGACAGCACAAACAAGACAAGAGCAATACAGAAGCTTCCTTAGAAGGTAAATTAATGCCTTTCTATTTTTAATACTGGTTTGGGCTAATTCCTAAGGTGCACAACAATACTGCACCTGTCTTAGAGAAAGAGTCACTCTTAATGCAAAGGGCCTCAAAACCCTGATTATTTACCTCTCTTGATTTTTTTTTAGGAATCATAAAACCATTTTTCTCATTTTGATTGTTTTTCTCCTGTGTTACATTAGGAAATAGCAGTAAGTGCTTGAACGCTTTTAAATAATGGAACAATTGTATAGGAAGGTTACATGACTATAAGTTAAAACTATATTTAATAAATAGAACTAAATAAATATTCCAACTAGAAATTAATTTGCTATTGGGGTAGATTAAGGAATATTCGTCATCCCCTGGAGACTTGAATATGAGTACTACATGTCTCAATTCATGTACTAATTCCAACGTAAATTACTAGGAAATCTGCAGAGAGTAGAATAATTGTCTCTCCTGCAGGGAACACTGAGTGTTGTACATTGCTTTTCCTTAGGAAGAAGATGAAATTAGAGATTCCAAACCATAATTAGCTGATTTCATATTTTCTTTCTTTAACAAAGAATGACCATTCTGTTATGGTTTCAAATACAGATCTCAAGCCTAGCCATGCGTAGATTCTCCCATGTGTTTTTGCGTCCATCTCCAACTTTGATTTCTATGAATACTTCTTTGCTGAGCCTGAGTAGCTGTAGAGTATATGATAGAGAGATATATCACATAGAATAATCATATAGAGAATATTATTTCTGAACTTTTACAAGTCTGAGTGCTCAGGATGGGAAGTTTTTTTCATTCTTACAAACAAGTTCACTAAGTCATCACTATAGTTGGATTCTCTTTTAATAGTTGTCCAAGTAGTACTAAAGTTGTTACCTTTGTCTGATTTTGCAGTCTTTGCAGTACATTTGAAAATATATTATTGGATTACTACAATGTCTTGGTTTTGCAGTTAATAGATTCTGTATAACTCAATTTTGAAATTAGTCCATGTGCCCATTAAAGTTTCTTTCCCTACTGAAATAAAAAGTTGATTTACAGACTGACCAATGTTTGCCACATTTCTAAGTTGTAAATTTTGTGAGTTCTGTTTAACTAAAAAACAAGATGAGAATGCTTGAAGCTTTAAATTAAGTTTTAGCTGTAGATTATGTGTTTTGTATAGCACCACCAGTTTAGCTAGTTATAAAAATGTGGTTGTACAAATTGTACAGATAAAGAGAGATCGTGAAAAAAGTGTTAATGAAAAGTACTTCTGGGTTTTTTTTGTTTTGCATTTCTGTTTTCTGGAAGTGTATCCCTGCTGAAAAACTTACCTGAAGATAAATTAGCTAAGATCATGGACTGCCTCGAGGTGGTAAGATACTGTTAAGTTTTTCAAAATAGTATTCAGTAAGCTTTCAAAATAACAAATAATAATTCATAAGTAAAAACAAAACCAAAAAACAACAGAGCTTTTTTTTAATATTACAGTGTTTTTGCAGTGGTCAGAGTAGAATTCCAGGTTGGAAAATAATAACATTTAGTGTCATAAAAGTAAGTTTTCTCTTTGGCATCAAAGGATTCAAGCAAGTAGATAAGAGGATGTATAATCTGGCCTTTATTAAGATTAAGCACAAAGTTGCTGTCCAGGTCTCTGACTTTTTTTTTTTAATCATGCTTTACTTGTTTGCAACATGCATATGTAATGATTTTGTATACCTTCAACAACATACATTGCAAAATATAAGGAGAAAAAGGCCCTAGGACTTCAGTGTATGAAATCAGCCAAATATCTGTGTGTCTTAGGGCTGCATCTGCCAGCAGCCTTTGGAGGTAAAGGCTTGATATATAGTCATAGCTGTGAAGTTTTCCAGGAGCGGTGGTAACTATTAATGCTTTCTGCATAGGGAAAGTCTGTAGGAACCCCAGTCTTGGAACAATTCTGCAGATGGACAACAGAAGTTCCTCAGGAACCTGAGGACCTCAGTCCCAACAAGTCAGAGGAGGCAGATAGCTAGTATGCATGGCCATGGCACAAGGGGGGTGAGGAGACTGTGGTGTTGGTTATGTGAAACAGCAAAGGGCCATAGCACAGCAGTATCCTAAAAAGTGACTTTTTTTTTAATTATTATTATTTCTTTTGTGGGATCCCTGGCAAAGGAGGACGTTTAGGAAACACTCAGAGGAGAAAAATATGTGGTGGTTGTTTATGAGCAACAGATCACAAAGCTGGAAGTTAGCATGGAAAAAATGCTTGATTAAAAGTTAAACAATTAGGTGATGAAGGCAGGGTTCCTTGGCAGAGACAGAAAAGTTGCTGCTTTGGTAGCTTGCAATAGATGGTTTAGGCATTCCCACTGGGGTGTCAAGCCCAAAATTACTTTTAGAAATGGGATTTTGTTTTGGAACTCTTTTAAGAGCTTTTGATTTATTTTTTTTTACACTCATTTTCTCCTGCTTCATAAGAATGATAGCAGTGTTAATATTTTTTAAACAAATCACATTCTGGTGCATTAAGATATGTTACAGATTGTCCACAATGCTTTATATAGTGGAATGCTTGCATATTATTATGGGATGGAACATATACATGAGATAGGAAGTTAAACACCAGTGGAACATCCAGATGTATTAAGAACTCTGCATAGTAATCAGAATTTTCAAAGAGGTTAGTGATATATTATTGGACAATGTTTTCTCTCTCTTCCCCCCAACAGGAGTACTATGACAAGGGAGATTATGTTATTCGAGAAGGAGAAGAAGGAAATACGTTCTTTATTATAGCAAAAGGAAAGGTAATATATAATTAACCTAACGCATACAGCAATACATGTATTTCAGAAGCTACCTTGAGGGGTGTGGTCTTCAGTAAAATCTGTGCAGGGTTTTTACTGTAATTAAAGTATGTCCTGAAACCTCTCAACACTGTAGCAGAGATGTAAAGTCCATTTTTTGTAAATGAGATTTGATCCTCCTGGATGTTTCAATATCTGATGGGCATAACATAGACTTGTGATATAGCTAAGAAATTACGGAGTCCTAGGTTTAATGGAGAATGGCCTTCTAGGTGACTCAGTGCCTATTCCTTTCATTTAGGAATAGACCCAGAGGTGTAAGGCAGCAGCCTTTATCCATCAGCTGTTACACTGGAGGTTGACACAGGACTCTATAAAGAATCAAATCAGGAGAATTTTCATCCATAAACTTCCAGTACGGGCTTCAAGATTCCAAAATGTGTCTCTGTTTGGAGATATTCTGGTTTGGGTTTTGCTAATGGGTGTGGGCATCAGTAGAATGTGTACTACTATGGAAGTGGAGTTTCATGATGGGGGAGAAGTTAGTTAATGTTTATGGAGGCTATATGTTTAGCTGAGAAGACAAAAAGCTCATACGATGACTGCCCACTCTGGGAACAGAAGTATTTTTCAGTTTTTCATTAAATTATGATTTACTTTGCTCTATTTTAATAAGTATGAGAAGAAAATATTGGGGGGTGGGCAATAATGAATATATTCATTTTTCCATCTCTCAGCAAAAATCAGAGAGGTGTCAGGAAATGTTTGATGGTTTTAATTTTTGAGAGGAAGGAGTAATTATATTTTTGCAGCATTACTGAGTTTAACACATTTATGAAACACACAGAAAAGAAGGGGAAACCATGCAATACTTTGAAGCTTCCCTTTCTAAATTTTTGTTCCTGTACTTTCTAGGTGATAGTTACCCAGAGTACTGCAAATCACTCGCAGCCTCAGCTGATTAAAAATCTACATAAAGGAGATTACTTTGGAGAAAAGGCTCTCATTAGGTTAGTTCACATTATCTGATTCATGATGTATAGTATATTTCAACTGACTTATCACTATGGGTCAGATTATACAACTCATGGCTGTTTTGAATATAAACTTTGCTTTGATTGTAAGGTCAGCTGATGAAGGCAATGCTTGAATTTATCTTAATGTTTTGGGTTTTTGCAGAGAGAACTTGAAAGTATACCGTTATCTACCTGTGGTTTTCCCTGAAAAAGTCAAATGCTGGCCCCTTCTGCATTGTTGCTTATTGTTTATATTTCAGTAAAAGCTGTGATGAAAACTCGTGCCAGGCTCTGTATGACCCCTAGCATGGATAAGTTCCATCATTACTGGGCTGAGCTGCTGTTTCTGTGCTGGTGCCCATGATAGTAAGAAACAGAGAAAAGGAGTATGAGAAGATATGACCTGTGAGGCAAATAGCTCATATAGCATGTGTTTATGTGGGTGATTGAGTAGGAATCATTTGGTCTCTGGAATGTTTTATATCTGAGGATCATTTCAGAAATGAGTAGTAAATCCTGATGTAATACTAATTAAATTTCATGCTAATTTATTGGAAGGTTGCTGAAGGATGTAATGATCCAAACCCTGTTGAAACTGGAAAAATACTGTGCTAGACTATAATAATAACTACTAAAATGCTATAATTTTGTATTTAGTTCAGCAATATTAATCCAGATACAGGCTGCAGAGGCCTTTGAGAAGTTTCACCTATAGCAGCTGTGACCCTCCATGAGTACTGCGTGAAGTACTTTGAGGATTTTGATACACTTCTGAATTCTAATCTCTTTCACTTCTCAGTGATGATGTCAGATCAGCAAATGTTATTGCAGATGAACACAATGTGGAGTGCCTCGTTATAGATAGAGAGTAAGTATCATGCTACAGTTTAATGAAAGATTTGCATCCTCTTTCAGTAGGTTAACAATAAGGTGTCACTGTAGGTACAATCACTATATTTTCTTAAGTGAATACTGAATGATTGGTTATGGCTTTGGAATACTGAGCTGTGGCTGTGTTTTAGACAAAGACTTAATGAAGAGAGGCTGACAGAAAGTGCAGGAGCACAGAAAATTAAGAGTAGTTCCGAGTTATTCTTTCTCCCCTTGAGGTGGTGATGTTTCACATTTGTTAAGTGCTGTTCATTGGCTCAGGGAACAACAAAAGCCTCTGCATGTCCCTGGTTTCAGGATGTCCTTTTGTTGAGGCTGACATGCAGCCAAATTTCTAATTTTGTCAGGTAGAGGCCAATTTTACACTTCCTAAAATGGAAAGGTGTAAGATATAAGAGAGAAAGCTCCCAGTGGAAAGTGAAACAGCAAACCTGCATTTCTAAGGGCTAACTGTTAAGGGTGCTTACTTGGAGTGTGGACAGCCATCATCCTTTTCCTTGCAGAATCCCAGAAGTTCTCCTACTGAGGGCTAAGATTCTAACCCAGACCCAAAAATGGCATCTTAGCCTGTGAATGCGTTTTCCTCTTCTTTAGCTTGGATAAATAGGTTGCGGAGATAAATAGGTGTGTTCTAGGGAAAGGGGATATCAACAGGATTGCAGTAGGTAAACCAAGGGTTGGCATGGCATTGCTGGAAGGTGGCAATGCTGGTGGGAGCATTTACCCTCATCCTGAGAGCATGAAAGGTTCAGGAGCCTCTTTGAAATGTTTGTACGACAATGCACACAGTATGAGAAACAAACAGGGTGAACTGGAAACGCTGGTCAGCTCCCAGAGCTACGATATCATTGGTATTAGTGAGACTTGGTGGAAGGAGTCGCACAATTGGAGTGCTGGGATGGAGGGCTACGGGCTGTTCAGGAGGTGGAGGTGTTGCTGGGCAGGTGAGATGGAGGTGTTGCACTGTACGTAAGGGAGAGGCCTGATTGTACAGCACTTACAGTTAGGGGTGATGTGGGCAAGAGCCTCTGGGTGAGTATTAGGGGGATGGAAAACAAAGAAGATGTTGTAGTGGGTGTCTACTACCAATTAACCAGCCAGGATGTAAGCACTGATGAGTTATTCTATAGGCAATTAGGAGAACTTTTGTCCTGGTTCAACCAGGACAGAGTAAAGTTTTCCCCAGCAGAGAGAGAGGGGGAAGGGATCTCCAGCCGGGTTATTCATACCATGCTGACCTCAGGTCCAGGGGCGGAACCTTTTCCTTGCTCCTTGGCGGGTTCGGGAGGGAATTTTGCTTTCCGTAGACCAGCTAGCGGTATTTCTCTGTATATCGTTTGTCTTGTTCACTGTTATTGCTGTTTATTGTTGTTATCATTGCTACTGTTGTTGTTCAGATTGTTCTATCACTCTGTTGTATTAAATTTCTTGTTATTTTAGCCGGGGTCTGTGTTTAACTTCCAGCCCAACCGGCGCGGGTTGGGGAGGGGCAACGGCCACATGCTCTCCGATCCCGGCAAGGCTTAAACCTGCACATTATTAATTGGCGCCCAACGTGGGGCGTTGGAATAAGAATAAAAAGGGACAGACCCTGACCAGAGTGTGATAGAGCAATCTGTTGGGTGTAATTTTTTTTGGTATTTGTTTGATAAGAAAATGTTTGCAATGCTGGCCCACATGTTTGGGTGGTGCGGCTGGATTACTCCTTATATCCAGTGTGTGATCCCAGTGGTGGCGTTTGTTATGGGTGGAAAATGTGAAAAAGTTCTTATGTTGTTGTACGGGCTATTGAACGCGTATGCTGCCTTTATATCGCTGTGTGGGGGGGTGGGCTGGTACCTCTTTGCCGTTTGGGCTTTTGTTAGGGGTCTCACCCCCTCTGTGGGTGAGCCAGGGGAAGGGATCCTCTCGGCTTTGGGGCGGTTTAGCCCCCCCCGGAGCCCACAGGCCGGCGTGATTGTGGCACAATGCTTTCTGAATGCCTGCCTAATTTTGGTTTTGGCCATGCAGCATTTCTCTAACAACAGCAGTGCCCGGAAACCTGCCCCGAGGCCAGATAATAGTGACTGTCAAGGGGTGTGGGAAAAGATGGGCAAAGGCCTGAGTCGGTGGGCACCCCCAATGCTTTGGAACTTCACTCCTGAGCAAATGCAAAGTCCTGAGAAGCTGATGGAGTGCTTAGAAAGGGTGTGTTACCAAACTGGCAAAACCCAGGAGACACGAATCGCCGCAATGTGTTGGGGACTTGCCCATGCATACCGTGTCCTCTTTAATACCACCCACTGCCCTCAAAGGGAAGAAAAGGCCACACAAACAATATCTGAACCGGGGGGACAGGCAGAGCCAGTCTCAGTCGCCTCCACCAGCACACAGACTGAGCCAGAGAGCCAGGCAGTGCCAATGTCAGTCACCCCGATACAGAAAACCAAATATACCAGAAAGTCTGTTCGCAGAGTGAGGGATGGGGATGAGCCAGGCCCAGCACGGTAACAGAAGGAAGGACCAGAGGTGATTGTCCAATCTCTGTCCCTGGCTGAGCTGCGAGATATGCGGAGAGATTTCGGCCACCTGGGAGGCGAGCAGATTTGCACCTGGCTGCTCCGATGCTGGGACAATGGAGCCAGTGCTTTTGAGATGGAGGGGAGAGAGGCCAGGCAGCTGGGATCTTTGGCCAAGGATGCTGGCATTGATAGGGAGATAGGGAAACAGGCTCAAACCCTCAGCCTTTGGAAGCGACTCCTGTTCAGTGAAACTGGCCAGTGTTGTTTCAGAAAACAAGAAGGGCTTTTTAAAGTATGTTAATAGCAAAAGGAGGTCTAAAGAAAATGTTGAACCAATACTTGTTTAAGACTGCCATCTGACTAATAGGAATGAAGCAGAAGCAGAACTATTCAAGTGCATTTTTTGCCTCAGTCTTTAGTAATACTGATAGACTTTGAGCTGCCCAGTCACCTGAGTCAGAGTACCACAAGTGTGGGAACAGTGACTCCATTTCTGGTCACTGAAATTGTAAGAGATCAGCTGAATTTTCACAAGTCCCTGATGCCTGATGGGATTCACCCCAGAGTACTCAAGGAGCTAGTGGCTGTTACATAAGGACCCCTCTGCATCATCTACCAAAGGTCTTGGGAGTCTGGGGAGGTCCCTGGTGACTAGAAGCTGGCCAATGTTATTCCAGTCCACAAAAAGGGTGTGAGAGAAGACCCAGGGAACTACAGAACTGAGAATCTAACCTCAGTTCCTGGACAAAGTATGGAAAAGGTCATACTAGGTACTATTGAAAGGCACTTAAAGAATAATTGCAATCATCAGGCACAGTCAACATGGGTTCACAAAGGGAGAATCCTGTTTAACTAATTTGATATCCTTCTAAGGATACCAAATAAGGATAATGATAAGGCTACCAACCTAGCAGATGAAGGGAAGGTAGTGGATGTAGTTTTTCTGGATTTTAGTAACACTTTTGGTACTGTCCTGTTGGAGAATGACTTGCAGAGAGCAAGGCCATAGCTCCCTGCAGGAGCTGGTCGGCCATAGCTCACCTTATATAAGCAATCTACAATACACTACTTGCAACTCTATTGGATACATTTAAGAAACTATATTATAATATCTCAGCCATTGGGTACATCTAAAAGGTCACATTATAATATCCCAGCCCCTTGTGGCATCTCTGGTATGCATAAACATCTTTCTTGCTGTGAACCTGCTTCTCTCCCAGGGCTGTTTTCCTTCACCCCCAAGGTCCTAATGCGCCCCAACTTATCTCTGTGTTCTCACAACAATCCTCGTTAGCACAACTGAGCCCTGGATCTTCATCCTTGTTTACATAACTGTACCCTGGGTTCTTTCCTTTGTTTACCTCAGGTGGCTGGGACCGACTTCTGCAGGGAGCTATGGCCGACCAGCTCCTGCAGGGAGCTATGGCCTTGCTCTCTGCAAGCCGTTCTCCAACAATGACCCTCGCAGCATCCTTCTGGACACGTTGTCCACCTGTGGGCTGAGTGGGTTCATGGTGTGCTGGATGAAGAACTGGATGAAGAAGGGCAGGGTTTAGAGGGTTGCAGGGAATGGGGCTACATCTGGCTTGTGAGCAGCCACCAGCAGTGTTCCTCGGGGTTCAGTTCTAGGGCCAGTTCTGTTCAATATGTTATCAACAGTCTGGATGCAGGAGCTGAATGCACCATTAGCAAGTTGGTTGATCATACCGAACTGGGAGGTGCTGTTGACTCTTTTGAGGGATGAGAGGCCTTGCAGCAGGATCTAGATTGATTTGGAGCATTGGGTAGTCATGAACTTTAACAAGTGCAAGTGCTGGATTCTGCACCTGGGATGGGGTAATGCTGGGCACAAGTATAAATTGGGGGAGGAGTGGCTGGAGAGCAGCCCCGCAGAAAGGGCTCTGGGGGTGCTGGTTGGCAGCAGCTCAGTAGCAGTTGGCAGTGTGCCCCGGTAGCCAGGAGGGCAAACCACCTCCGGGGGAGCATCCAACACGGCAGAACCAGCCGGGCAAAAATGGCGTTCAGTGCTGGTGCGGCCTCACCCTGGATACCGTGTGCAGTTCTGGGCCCCATAATTTAAGAAGGATGTGAAGGTCCTTGAATGTCCGGAGGAGGACAGCAAAGCCGGTGAATAGGGCTGGAAGGCGTGTCCTGTGGGGAGTGGCTGAGGACTTTTGGTTTGTGTAGTTCAGAGAAAAGGAGGCTGAGGGGTGATCTCACTGCTCTCTACAGCTTCCTGAGGAGGGGAGGTGGAGAGGGAGGCGCTGAGCTCTTCTCCCTGGTATCCATGGATAGGACATGTGGGAATGGTTCAAAGGTGCTCCAGGGAGGTTTAGACTGGACACTAGGAAGTATTTCTTTACCAAGAGGGTGCTCAAACACTGGGACAGGCTTCCAAGAGAGGTGGTTGATGCCCCAAGCCTGTCAGTGTTCAAGAGGCATTTGGACAATGCCCCTAATAATATGCTTTAACTTTTGGTCAGCCCTGAAGTGGTCAGGCAGTTGGACTAGATGATCATTGTAGGACCTTTCCAACTGAAATAGTCTATTATAAGTCTGTTCTTCCCACAGAGCTGTTACTCACCTGTAAAGTGGGAGAGGTGATCTTAATTGCTTTGGCACTGTGTACCAGGGGCTCTATCCTTTGGGATGGAAGGACTGATTGCCTGGACTCACACCAAGCTAGTTCCTGTGGTAATGTTGGTGGAACCACACATAACCATAGTGAGCATGGGAGGCAAAGTACCCCCCAGCCTGCTCCAAATTACTTAAACATAACATGAAATGACCCAAGATCAGGCATTCTGTCTCATTTCTTTGTCTTTCCACTGTATGTTCAGTAGTTTAGACTGTTCCATTCATGTGTTTAGGACATTTAATCAAACTGTTGGAACCTACGAAGAGCTTCAGACTTACCTTGAAGGTTATGTGGCTAATTTGGCTCAGGCTGATGAAAAGCGACATGCAAAGTAAGTCAGATCATTTGTTATGCACATCTTTGTAGGTAATCATAAAAAAGAGTGATAGATATGTAAGTAAAATCATGGTGGTAGTTGATGGAGATGGGCCCCTAGGAATGGTAGCAATCACTATAATAAAAATCTCTGGATATGCTTATAGAGTCAAAGACATTTTTTCTGAAAGAAAAAATACATAGAATCTCAGTATATTGACTTCCAACCAAGAATTCACTCTATCTCAAGAAAACTGAGCATAGAAAGGAAGTGAAAGCGTGCTCAAATAATTTTTTTGCATTCTGGTGGTATATTCTTTGACTGGTAGAACCACTGAAGGTCAACTTTAACTCCCAGTTGAGTTAATGAAACTGTGTTACTGTAGAAAAGACTAATTGCCATTTCAAATAGAAATAAGCAGATATAAAAGAAACAGTTTATATTTAATGTTTCAGTGTAGCTCTAGTGGTATTAAAGAGCCCTTTTAGCTGTGGACCACACTTTTAGTTTATCTGCCTCTGATTTCAACCTGACCACTACTGAAAGTTTAGCAGAATATGTTTTTCTTTTGTTTAGAAATATAGCTGCATTTTTATTTCTGATCATTCTACTGGAATTGGTACACAGTCCTTCAGAAATTAGTTCTCCAACTTGGAGTGTCCAAGGTTTTGCAGCTGACTGCATAATTTGGAACCTCACCATGGATCAGCTCTTGAAAAAAATACTGTTGATTGTACTCAGTGAACTTCAGTAGCATTTCACTTATATTTTACTTCTGAGGATGTCCAGAAAGAAAGTGCTTCTGCACAAAATAAAATAAAGATTCTGTTAGGAAATAAGAAGGCTTTTCTTTTATTTTTTTATAGGAGTATTAGAGTACTGTTATACAGGTTGCTGGTAAGGAAAGCACTAACCTATGTTAATTTTCTTAATGCAGACGAAGATCTTTCTGTGGACAGTTGACCAAAGAGGTGTCTTTGGAGATGATAGAGCTGAAGGAGAAAGTAGCCCAGTTCCCTCCTTCCCCATTCCAGAATTTAGAAGTTGTCACAACTCTGGGTGTTGGTGGGTTCGGAAGGGTTGAGCTTGTAAGAGTTTGTTTTAAACATATTCAAGTAGTTCTCTGTCTTAGATGATTGATTTAACTGCTGAAAAATGTGAAGGATTATAATCTGCATGCTTGTGCCTCTCAGCAGAGGTAATTCTGTGTAAAGCAATGCATAGTTGAAACAATATTTTCAGGACTTCAGTGTTCAAAGAAACAAATCCATTCCTGTGTGTCTTCATCTCCTGCTGTTAGAAGATATGTATTTATCAGTTTGTGTGTGTGTAGTTTACTGATGTGCCTACCTGCATTGTGTTCCCTGAATTGCATGCCTTTTCCCAAGATTCTGCCTGGACCTTCAGCATCACATAGTCTGTGTTGTTTGAATTGCTTTGGTGTGCCCCACAGCAACTATAACCAGTGTGATCTAGCTGTGAGTTGTGTTGACTTCGAAATTTCCAACAATCTGTAATGGCTCTTTTGAATCGTATTCAGTAGCCTGAACAGCTGTGTTTCTGGGATGCAGAGAGCCTCATTAGACTAAGGTCTTAAATTCCACTCTTCTCTGTCTGAATAGTAAACATCTTAAAAAACAATGAATGCTTCTCATGCAGGCTGCTGAAGCTAATGGTAAATTAAAGGAGACTATGTGATTTTAGTGAAGTCAATAATCCTTTACAGTAGCTAGACCATCACTTGTTTTATTCCAGCTGATGCTTCACAAAACAAATTTCCACACAGATTAACTTCCATCTTGGAAATTCTACAGCATCACATGAATAATAAGCTAAGAATTTAATTCTCAACCAGGTGTAGAACACCAATAGCTGCTTCTTTGGCTTTCTGGAAACTCTGTTTTAACTTCCACCGTTTTATTGCATGTTGGATAATATTTCAGTGTAATGCCAAATGATCTGTATATATCCTTCATAAACTGCCTCTGCCTTTTGTTGGTTTGTATCATGCTAGTGTTTAGAAACCTTACATTGAAATTAAGACCCGTTGTGGTATAAACCCACTGTAAAATATAGTACCTATCCAAACTGCTACTGTTTTGTATACATACAATGAACACAGGGAACATTTATTTTAATTTTACAAGTGGGGAGTGAGACCCTAAAAAGATCTGATGTGTGACTTAAAATCATACAGAACAGTTCTTCAGAAAATCTGGAATTTGTCCCTCGTTACAGTCATCAATTTCAGTCCTGTACTGTGTTGTAAAAGGTGGATATTGGTGTACCTATTGAGAACAGATTGGTAAAACATCCTTTCTTTCCCTCACATGTACTTATCATTTTTATTCACAGGTTAAAGTGAAAAATGAGAACATGGCTTTTGCTATGAAGTGTATAAAGAAGAAACATGTAGTGGACACCAAACAAGAAGCGCATATCTATTCTGAGAAGAAAATCCTTGAGCAGATATGTTCTCCGTTCATTGTAAAGTAAGTTGACCATAACATTTCCTTGAAAGTTGACCCACATTTGACCCGCTGGACAGCATTATTAAGAATGAGGTTTGGTGTATATGTGTTCTAGAGAAAAGACATTTTAAGTCTCATGTTTTATTTAGCTTTTCCTAAATTGCTGCTGTTTGTCTCCACAGACTATATCGTACATTCAAAGATAGTAAGTATGTATACATGCTACTGGAGGCTTGCCTTGGAGGGGAATTGTGGAGTTTGCTGAGAGACAGGTAACAGCAAGTGAAGTGGAACCTTGTCCTTTAAAGTCACCAGTCAGCTCCATATGCCTGCTGAGTAGGTTGTCTTCTCATTGGACAGCCCTTGAATAGAAGTTTGATTCATTTTTCACCTGCATGAGTGATGTACTGAATGTCAGTGCAAAAAAGCTTGTTAATATTCTGGGTGTTATATGGTATCTGGTAATGAGCAAGACGTTTTTAGAAGTTAACTGTCTGCAAGGATGGTGATTATTTCTGTTCTAGAGGCAGCTTTGATGAAGCCACTACCAAGTTCTGTGTTGGGTGTGTGACAGAGGCTTTTGACTATCTACATCACATTGGAATTATCTACAGAGATCTGAAGCCAGAAAATTTAATTTTGGATGCTGAAGGATATATAAAACTGGTAAGATGTAATCCTTTTGTAATGTTATTCTTTTCTGCCTGTATCCTGTTTCCCTGCAGGGGGGATATAAATAGCATGTAATTATAGTACCAGGATCCCAGGGTTTAATAACCCTTACGCTTCGGTAGAAAAGAGGGCAAGCTACTCATTGCACAGTGAGAAACAAAGGCATTGCAAAGCCCTTGCAAGTCACAGACCAACTGGGGATTTGCAGCCTCTGAGAGCTCTTGCCACAGCATAAACAGCAAAAATAATTTCTCCCAGCAGCCAATCTTAATGTAAAGGCGGGAAGTACATTTCCCAGGTGCAGAATTAACTCCCTGTCCAGCCTCAAGCAACTGTACATTCTACATTATCTCTTTAGAGAGCTCCTGCCATACTTGACTGTGACCGTGAAAAGTGTAAAGAGAATACCCTTCAAAGAGCTTGTAATATCCACTCTGAGGACAATGAGCAACTCACCATTTTCCATGGGCTGTAAATCTCATGTTCTCAAGGAAAGCATGTGTTGTTCTATCCAAAAGGAAAACAATTCAAGAAATTACTCATGAGAATAGATGGATCTGTTCTGTAACATTTGGTAATCCAGTGGAATTTTTTCTCCTTCACAACACCACCATGTAATTGTTCTATCTGTAAACTGGCAACTCTCAGATCTTTGCAGAAGGTGAGGAAGCAATTAAGACCTTAAGGCTTCTCAGTGCAAAATGCCTCTGCATATGTTGGTTTTCATCAGGTTGATTTTGGATTTGCAAAGAAGATTGGATCAGGGGAGAAAACATGGACATTTTGTGGAACCCCTGAGTATGTTGCCCCTGAAGTCATTCTGAGTAAAGGCCATGACTTCAGCGTGGATTTTTGGTCCCTTGGGATTCTTGTGTATGAGCTCCTTGCTGGCAGGTAAGTGCCTTCTACTCCAAGTTCTTACCTTGTTTGTTTGTTTGTTTGTTTGTTTTTTCTTAAAAATGTTTTTAAGGTTTTGTTTTTTTCCCCATCAGTAAACAGGAACAACTTGCAAAATGGTACTTCTTTTTGCCTCCTATACATGTCTTATCTTCCATCATTTCAGAAACACCATGCACAAAGTGTGGGACATATTCTCAGTTCTGGTTTATCCATCCAAGGAAAGAGTCTGACACAGGCTATAAGTGGCTGGTGTAGAGCTCCTTTAACTGATGATGTTTTCTGTGAGGAACAGACTGTTCTTTTCCCCTTTAGTGGGTGACAGGGTACAGTAGGGTGAATGAACTGTAAGCAGGACTTGTTCTTTGTCTCCATGCGCACTACCGTGACAACACTTTGTGAATGTTCAATTATATACAACAACTGAAATAAAATAGAAAATGGAAGCTTCTCTGAGTTAGGCTGGAGGCAGAGCTAGCTTAGAGGGGCACATACAGTCATGCATTTTCCCTGGTACCTGCAGGCACCTCCTCAGCTTCGAACCTTTCTAATATCTTAAACAGACGGAAAGGCTGAGGGTTGTAAAACTAGGAAGGTGGGGGTCTTATTTCTTATTCTCAAATATTTGCTTTGATGAGAAATGGCCACATCTGCTCTTGCCAGCTATTCCATTTTTCACTGTTGCTTCCTTTTTCTAGTCCACCATTCTCTGGGGCTGATCAAATGATGACATATAATTTGATTCTCAAAGGCATTGAAAAGCTGGATTTTCCTAAAATAATAAGGCGGCGACCTGAGGATTTGATCCGCAGACTCTGCAGGTAGGAGAAGCACTTTGTGGCAGAGCCTGAGTATGGACAGATTGAGCTATTTAAGATTCCAACTAGAGTGTTGAATTCCTGACAACTTAAAGTTAAATTTAATTTTAAATTTAAAATTGTTATGCCTGGCAAGGTCTATTCTGATTATATTCAGTACACATGCATGCCTCCGAGCATGTATCACACCTCTTAGTCTGCACAGGTATCATTTACAAATGTAGGCTCTGGGCTTTCTCTGCAGCTGTGAATGTTTTTCTGAAACACATCTCAGGGAAAACGTGGGCTGAGGAAAGAGCTAAAGATTTTAATTGTATTATCAAGTGCTTCCAGAATTACTTAGACATATAGCTCCTACAGAAAGCATAGGGCCCTTAAAGACTAGCTTTAGCCCACTTGAAAATGTGCAAAAAGGTGGTATTTTAAAAGGGCCAGCATAACTCAGAAGCATTAGTCATAGTGGTGTGCCCAACCTGTGGCTGGTGCCACTGCAGACTGAACTCCCAGCTCCAGTGGGATTTCATCCACAGCACTGGGAACAGTATACACCATGTTTGTGCAGCAGGATTGAAAGGACTTCTGTGGCTGCAAATTTTGGTCTGCCTTCTTTTGTAACTCATGGCCAGACCTGCTGGCCAAGGGAAAAAAAAAAAGGTGTGCAACTAAAATTCAACCAGTTGATTTCCCTCTGCTACTTCTCACAGCAGAGTACCATTGTTTTGACATCATGGAAGGTTTCTCTACTTCAAAAGAAAGGAGCAGTGAGCAGCACCTCATTATGTCTCCTTATGAGACCACATGTTGTGTGCAAGCTCCATCCCTCTGTAACTGTTAAACGCAAGACGTTAGGACCTATAAATGCTCTTTTAAAAAAATAACATTTTAAAAATTCTTACATTTTCTCTTTTTTTTTAAGGCAAAACCCTACAGAAAGATTAGGCAATCTGAGGAATGGAATTAATGACATCAGGAAGCACAGGTAAGTGAAAGAGACTGCCAAGAAGAAAATCTGTTTTTTAATTTGAAAATGTTTTTAATATTTTAGAACCCAGTCCAGTAAACCCATTAAGCTCCAGGCACTTCTAGGCAGATTGCGTGAGAGATTTCTGTTGCTATAGAGTATATTTGCGACCTCAGCAAGCAATGATATAAACATTGCTTGATTACCTAGAAACATCTTGTTGTTTACTGGTTTTGTCACAGGTTGCTGATGGAGGAGTTTAATTTAGTTCTCAGAGAAATCGATGCCAGTTCAGTGTCTGCCTTCCAGACCTCCTGACCCTTAAATAGCTGCTTTTTAGAATGGTAGCAATATTAGGTTTTGTCTTCTTTCTTCTAATTAAAATCCTCTGTGATTTAAACATTTCTGCCTTTTTAAATGGGTTGTTTCTAAGCCCTGCAGTTTGTGCTTGGGTAAAGAAGTGCTTTGACTTTTCTGCTTGTCTTCCTGTCCTGGTTTCAGGGGGATAGAGTTAGTTTTCTTCTAGTAGCTGGTATAGTACCATCTTTTGGGTTTAGGATGAGAATAATGTTGGTATCACACTAATGTTTTAGTTTCATGCTTACACGAAGTTAAGGACTTTTCAGTTTCTCATGCTGCCCTGCTAGCAAGGAGGCTGGGGGTGCACAAGAATCTGGGAGGGGACACAGCCAGGACAGCTGACCCCAATGTAGCCAAAGGGCTATTCCATACCATATGATGTCATGCTCAGCATAGCAACTAGGGGGAAAGCTGGCCAGGGGGCTACTGCTCAGGAACAGGCTGGACATTGGTTGGTTGGTTGGTGGTGAGCAATTGTTTTTCATTTGCATCACTTATTTTTCTTAGGTTTTATTTCCCTCTCTTCTTGTTATTTTCCTTTTCATTACAATTTTTTAAAATTTTTGGTTTGGTTTATTTCACTTATTAAACTGATCTCATTTCAACACACAAGTTTTCTTCTACTCTTCTGATTCTCTCCTCCATCCCACCAGGGGAGGGGTAGTGAGCAAGCAGCTGTGTGGTGCTTAGTTGCTGGCTGGGGTTAAACCACAACAGTGGTTTATGATATGATAAAATTACGGGTCATGAGACTAGTACTGGTATTTGGTACTCATCATTTCTATCATCTCTCTACTTGGGGAACCATGTCTTGGAAGCTGTTAGTATTAACTTGTGGAGTCCCCATCCCTGGAGGGGTTGAAGAGTCAGGTTGACCCAGTGCTGAGGGATCTGGTGGAGTTGGGAAGGGTCAGTGTGAGGTTAATGGTTGGACTGGAGGAGCTTCAAGGTCTTTTCCAACCTCGATGATTCTGTGAATAATTACATCCTTTACATTTTCTCCTAGGAGAGCCAATCTATGGGGGATACAAGGGGAGACACTTTGCCCAACTCCTTCACTTTCCCTGTATCCTTCACCTTTCCCTTCTCCTCCAAGCTAGTTACAATAGCTCTTGAGAATTTTGTCTATCCGTGGAATGTTCAAACCAGCACGTTCCTATTGTTATGTCTCCTGAACATGTTTCAGGTCTTGTTTGAGGTTAAACAACTATTTAAGAATACCACCCAGAGATCTGCTCCAAGGCTGGATAGTTGAATGGCAGGGTGTGTGGGATAGTATGGGCAAGTACCTAGGACAGTGGGCACCACCAGCGTTTTGGAACTCCACCCCTGAATAACTGCAGAATCCTGAAAAACTAGTAAAATACTCGGAAAAAGTATACTGTCACCCTAGCAATTCCAGAGACACAAACCGCTGCCACAGCTGGGGCTGGCCTGTGCCTACCAAGTTCTGTTCTACACTACCCAGTACTCTCAAGGGAAAGAGAACATCTTGATTTGACAACAAAACAACAAGCACTGGACCTACTTCAACCCCTGCAACAGGAATTGCATCTAAACCAGAGAACCAACCAGTATCCGTCACCCCTATATACAAAAAGAAATACCAGATACAAAAGTCAGCTCATTTAGTGAGGGAAGAAGCTCCTACTAAGAAGGGGAAGGACGAAGAAGTGGACGAGGCAAACTACTCCAAAGCAGGGCCATCATGCAAATAGGAGGATGAAGAGGCAGAACTCATAAATGAGGCAGTAACCACCCAATCCCTATCCCTGAGTGAGATGGGAGGTATGCAAAAATATTTCATCTGTCATCCAAGTGAGCACATGGTCACCTGGCTGCTCTGATGCTGGGGTAACAGGGCCAGCAGCCAGGAATTAGAGGGTAGGGAAGCCAGGCAGCTGGGATCCCTGTCTAGGGAAGGGGGCATCCACAAATCAATTGGAAGAGGGGCACAAGCCCTCAGCCTGTGGAGGTGACTCCTGTCAGGCATGAAGGAAAGGTACACCTTCAAGGGAGGTGGACTACCATGGAGAGAGGTATTCAGTACCTGAGGGAATTAGCCGTGTGGGATTTATGATGACCTGGACAACAAACAGTGATCCAGAGATCCAGATGAAGTCCAGTGCACGTGACCCATGTGGTGGAAGTTTCTACAGGGCACACCATCGTTGTATGCCAACTCGTTGGTAGTAATGGAAAGATGGAGATAGACAAATGGTGGATGAATTGGCTGGCCAACTCCAGTAATACGAAGAAAGTATCTCTCCCTCCCTATGGGCTGGTATCTCAACCGTGGAAAAGCTTTCCTGGGAGTTCCAGGAATTCAAAGAGGATATGACCTAATACCGCCTTGTACGGACCAGTATCTTGGCTATTAGGAGTAAGCATTCCTCTGCTCAAGAGAAAGGATATAGTGGGTACACACCCTATGGTTTTACTTGCATGACCACAAAGAGGACATGAGGAAGTGAAATGGAAAATCTACCTTGACCCTCAAGGCACAGGTACATGAGTTGCAAGGAAAAACAAAATGGGGTTCTTCCAGGAAAATTGCTGCTTCAGTTAGCAGTGGGCTGTTTCCCAGACAGAGTAGAAGAGCTAATCTTACTTCTGCTATTAATAAAGGGATTTCTGATTTGTATTTACAAGAAGTGAGTAACGACTACTATGACCACGACTAGGGGGGCCCTGCCTCTAGCCAGGTGGAGGAAGAGGACACCTGGGTTTACTGGACTGCATGGATTCGATGGCCTGGCACATCAGATCCCCCAGGAGTATAAGGTTCTGGTGGACACCAGTGCACGGCATACCCTGATGCCATCAAGCTATAAAGGGGCAGAACCCATCTGTATTTCTGGATTGACAGGGGGATCCCAACAGCTGACTGTATTGGAGGCCAAAGTGAGCATAACTGAGAATGAGTGGCAAAAGCACCCCATTGTGACTGGTCCAGAGGCCCTGTGCATCCTTGACATAGGCTATCCCAGGAGAGGATATTTCAAGGACCCAAAAGGCTACTGGTGGGCCTTTGGTATAGCTGCCTTGGAGACAGAGGAAATTAAACAGCTGTCCACCTTGCCCAGTGTCTTGGAGAATCCTTCTGCTGGGGGGTTGCTGAGCGTCAAAGAGCAGTGGGTGCTGATTGCTATCATGGTCTTGTACTGGCAGCAATATCGCACCAACCAAGACTCCCATCCATAAGCTGATTCATCAGCTGGAGAGCTGAGGAGTGATCAGCAACACTCACTCTTTAACAGCCCTATATGGCCAGTGCAGAAGTCTAATGGAGAGTGGAGACCAACAGTAGACTATTGTGGTTTGAATGAAGTCACACCGCCGCCAAGCGCTGCCATGCCGGACATGCTACAGCTTCAATATGAACTGGAGTCAAAGGCAGCCAAGTGGTACACCACTACTGATATTAATAACACATTCTTTTCAATCCCTTTGGCAGCAGAGTACAGGCCACGGCCCTCTCATTCTCTCCTCCATCCCACACGGGAGGAAGGGGAGTGAGCAAGCCATGGTGTGGTGCTTAGTTGCCAGCTGGGGGTAAACCACAACACTGTTCTCATGCTGTTAAAAGAGGGTGGAATTTGAAGGGGATGCATACATCTTTGCATGGCAGTGTTTATGTATATATTCTGCCTACCACTTTGGGACTTGTATACAGAGGAGATGCAATGTATATGGTGGCCCTGAAGCTCCTCTGCTACCACTCCCATGTGTGGCAATGACAGTGCTCACATGCGGGAGAGCTGAGCACACACACGACCAATGTGATCAAGCAATGCCCGTTTATTACAGCTAAGAAAGCCCTTTTATAATGTTCTCCCGCACACATGAGTAACATGCAGTACAAGTCCTCAAGATTGGACAGTTAACTTAGCCGACGCTTTAAACCTTCTTATGACTGGATGAAAAGTGCCCCATCAGCCTTGCCAGGCTTCCTGCCTTGTGGAACTTCCTCTTCCATCCCAACCCCTTCTGGGGGTTGTTTGTCTCATCGAGTTTCTCCCCCCTCATTCAGGGTTACACCCGTATCACATTCTTGCTCAGCTGAGGCTCTTATCACTCTTGTTCTCACGCAGGATTGCTCACATGTCCATTCTCTCGCAGAAAATCCTCTTGAACCCCAACACTCAACGTTTCCTCCGTCTAACAACTGTGTTGTCACATGGCAGAAGTTGTTATGAAAAAATGTCTTATAGTCCTTGTTCACATGGTTTTTAGCTGTTAATAGTATAATGACAGAAAACAATCTGTCTTTCTCTCTTGGTCTCTGTCTGTCATTTCTTTTTAATCAGGTGGTTGAGTGGTTTTAACTGGGATGATCTGAAAGTGAGGAAGTTAACATCGCCTTTAAAAAGAGAGGTATTGGCTTTGACTTTCAATATCAAACTGCTTTACTAATATAAAGGAGCTTGGCTACAAGCAAGAGATTTCCCCAAAGATGAATTGAATTATTATAGCTCACCATTTTTAGTCAAAATTAAATGAGAGACAGCAAGCGGTACATAATTTAAATTCATTTTAATAATGTAAATATTATTCTGCCTGTGTACTTTGCATTAGATTGTCACCGTTACTAGAATAAATGGTGTTTGGTCAGAAACAAATACTGAAAAAACATATTTTCCTCAGTAACTGTTCACATTACTTTGCAGAGTACAAATTCCTCTATTCTCTAACTATTGAGTTATAGCACATCCTTGAAACAGCTTCCTAAGTGGTCCATTTCTCTTTGCCCTAAAATGAAAAAAGATTGATGGTAAAGAACTCGAAACTCAGTTTGAAACAAAAAATAATTCTGAGATCTGCTCATGAGTGTAGATTAGACCTTAAATTTGAATCAAAATTGTAAGAAGTGTGGCCCAGTTTTCTTACTGGCTTTGCAGGGATTTGGGTGAAATCTAGGATTTGATAGAATTTGGTGAGTGTTTTTGTTTAAGGAGGCTAATGCCATTGTTCTGTTGTACTATTTACTTACTGGAGGTTTATCTTTTAAAGAACAAGGATGACTTCTTTCAAAGTGCAATTTCATATAATGCTACTCTTTTATTTCTCCACTGGTAGCAATAAAAATGATGTATAATCAATGGAAAGTATTTTTAAAAGTTACCTTCTGAAACAACTGTTTGTTTGTGTTTTTAATATCCTAGTTGTCTGGACCGACTGATTACAGCTACTTTGACAGCTATCCACCAGAAGAGGGAACCCCTCCCGATGAACTTTCAGGCTGGGACAAGGATTTCTGATTTTTTTTTTTTTTTTTTTTTTCCTTCCAGAACATTTATAGAGAATTATAGGCATCAATTCTGCTCTCTTGTTTCTTGCTTTAAAATCAAATTACATAATGTTTGTGACAAACACAATGTTTCCTGAAGGATAAAAGACAGTACAGCAACCAGAACTTGTTTGGATAATGCACCAAAATCTGTGTGCATCTCCTTATAACAAGGGCATTGCATTCAGTCAGCAGATGTAACCTGAAGGTTTTTGGATGCACGATGTCTCTATAGACATTTTCAGATGCTGTGGATCAGATATATGCTTTTGCCATTGGAATTATCACCAGATAATATTTTGATATTAACAAGGATACCATATATCTTTATTTTGAACAGAGTGGATGAGTATTTGTGGCATTTATCCACAGCTGACACTATAGGCATTTATTTATTTTATCTGCTGCGTGTTTCATTTTTTCCCATAATGGCCAGTATTTCATTGATCCAGAAGCATGTAGAAAAGAGACTTTTACTTGAAGGTTGATTTGATTTGATCTGGTGCTGCAGCTACAAGGGTATCACTGTGGAAGCTGCCTCTCTGTCAGTTTAGTTTTGCATCAGGTTGAATATGTGAGACAGGGTATAACAGGTCAAAATAAAATGCAGTAGTAAATAAGGTGTATAAATAATAGCAATTGCCTGGAGAAGCAGACTGGTATGTATTTCCCTTACTGCTTCAAAGAGCCGTGTCCATTTCTTAAAATGTTTTGCTTTTATGTAGTGTGAAGATAAAATAGATGGACAAAAAAAGCAGGAAAATTTCTGTAAGTAAAGAATCATATTTTTTCCTTCAAATATATATTTTAGATTGTTTCCACTAATACTTTGCTGAAATACTACATCTGTTCACATCAGTACTAAAACTTCCACCCATTTCAGTGTTCCAGTTGATGTCACTAGATGTGAACTATCATTTCAAATCATATTTCATCAGAAGTCTTATTAACATGTAATTATTCTGAGTTCCACTTGTATAGGAGGGGAGAATAAGAGAGCAAAAACTTGATTTTTTTTCTCTTGTAAGGAATTCTACTCACGAATCAGTTTAAATATTCTGTTTTCTTTTGACTGCCTTCCCTTCTCTCTAACGGTTTACATAGAAAGGCAAGGAATTCCAAGCTCCTCTCACAAACAGTATAAAACTGTAATTGTGATTTTCAGCACAATTTTTCAAGCTCTGTCTTTGACCACTTTGGTACAAGTAAACAAATTGCTAACCAGAACCCTCAAACAACCTGAGCAGGGGAGTCCAGCAAACAGCTAAAATATTCAGGAGGCTGGAGCACATGCCCTGTGAGGAAGGGTTGAGGGACCCGGGCTTCTTCAGCATGGAGGAGGGAAGGCTTTTCAGGGACCTCACAGCAGCCTGCCGGTCCCTGCAGGAAGGTTATTGAGAAGACAGAGCGAGGCCCCTTATGGAGCTGCTCAGGAAAGAGGGTCATAAGTTGGAACAGGAGAGGTGCTGACCTGACAAAAGGGAAAAAGTGTTTCTCTAGTGAAGCAGGATCCCAGACAGGTTCTGCAGTCCCCTTCCTTGCAGTTGTTTAAGACCAGACAGACTGGAGCAATCCAATCTGAATTCAGTGTTGACCCTGCTTTGAGCAGGAGATTGGACTAGAGACCTCCTGAGGTCCCTTCCAGCCTGAGTGATTCTAGGAATTAGTTCTATTTGTCAGCTATTTGTATAATCAGAATATAGCACAATGCATGTTCCCATATGAGTTTATATATGCCTAGGCTTTGGCACTTAACCTTTAAATTGTTAGAACTGGGAAACTGGTTTGAAGTGTTGATTGGATAATAAATGCAGTTGGATATCGTGCATTCATGGTTTATACAGAAAAATTTTGTTGCTCTCTGTTATGAACCGCAACTGCTGTAGAAACAGGGATGTTCCTGGGTGTCATGCTGGGCTTATGGGATTAATGCATCTGCAACCCCTGCTAGGGTCTGTTTCAACTCCCGCTGAGGCAAAGTCCAATCTAAATTTCAATACTGAAGCTGCCACAGCACGCTGCATTTCACATGCTGGATGGAAAACCTCCCAGGCAACATGTAATGTGTGCTCAGGGTTTAGTTACCCTGACTGCTGCCTGGAATTCCTAGCTGCTGGTCATGATTTACCCCAACTGGGTGAAGGAGAGATGCCCATAGGGTCATTTCCATGGTTACAATTATTTTTTACTGCTGAGTGGCCATCACTTTGACAACAAATCAATTTAAATATTTTGTATAACATTCAGTCCAAATAAAAGCAGTAAAATATTTTCAATTGAATTTAATGAAGGTTAGGTTGAGCCCTTGGAGGAAGACACTCCATGTTTAGCTGGTTTTGTTACAACCAGCTGCCTGGTTGTAAACTATTGTGGAAACTTGCAGCCAGCAAAGCCTGGGCAGAATGGTGGTAAGCATACACAGTCAGAGAGGATGGAGCAGAGGCTGTAAGGTGGGCCTGTAGATGCTTTAGACACTTGCAACTAACTCCATTTAACAATACCAAAGACCAGATTTTCTTTTCAAGATTTAGACAAGCACTAGATATTAGGTATGTGTGTTTCACTGTGTGTCTGTTTGTCTTTCTCTCATAAATATTTTTATTACAGACAAAATAATATTGCGCCAAGTTTTATAAAAAGCTTTTGAATGTATTTTTCCATTGTATTTATAGGTAGTTTTCTTATTTATATATATAATTAAGTGTATATATATATATATATATATGTTTTTTTAAGTGAAGAAATAGCTGTATGATTAGTGCAGTTAGCATTAAATCTGTGCAGCTGTAGGATACATTTTCTTTATAAAGCTTGTTTAACTTGCAGTGTTTGCAAATAAAGTAAGCTTACAATGCAATGGGCAGGACATTCATCTTTTATAATTGCATTCCATGCAGCAGTTGGGATTCTTAGCCCTGAATTATGCTTCTTGTCCACATGATTCAGAAGAGACAGAGGCAGAAAAGACCACCCTGGAGAGAGTCACTGATGTCATTTCTTGCAGCATGTCCCCCACTCAGACTGTTTTCCCACAAAATCCATGTGGATCTTGAGAAAATGAATGCATAAGAAGCTACAATAGATGAGGTCACAGATATTTTTGTATTCATGTAGAGTTCCCATGTACATTTGATTCATTTTATTTGTATCACGTATGCAGTTGACTCAGCTGAAGTTTTTCAGAAACAGAAGCTGATATGGTACAGGCTACACACTGAACTGACCCAAACTGTCTTTGACAGACAGATGCACTTCAGGCTTCAACTCAGCTTCAGCGCAGTTATGCTGTTGTAAAACAAGAGGATAAATAAGCGATTCAGGCTCAAGCGGTTTCACAGTGCAGCAGATCATGGGAGAATTGAATGGACATTGGTGATGATGATCAAATTATGCTTATTGTTGCATTTTCTAATTTAAGGCCAGTGAAAAAGATTTTGACATTCAGGTTTGGGGCATGCTTACTGTTAGCAACTGAGTTCTGTCCTTATCTGTGTTTTGCCTTTTTGTCTTCACAGAATCATCTAGGTTGGAAAGGACCCTGGAGATCATCTAGTCCAACCGTTCTCCTAGCACAGTTCCCACCTACTCTAAAGTTCTAAGCTCTAAATCGACCGTACTCTTGAACACCTCCAGGGATGGGGACTCTACCACCTCCCTGGGCAGCCCATTCCAATGCCTAACAACCCCTTCTGTAAAGAAATGCTTCCTAATATCTAGTCTGAACTTTCCCTGGTGCAACTTGAGGCCATTCTCTCTTGTCCTGTCACTTTCTACTAGGTAGGCTAAAGAGGCTCAAACCCAGCTCTCTGCACCCTCCTGTCAGGGAGCTGTAGAGGGCCAGGAGGTCTCCCCTCAGCCTCCTCTTCTCCAGACTGAACCCCCCAGTTCCCTCAGCCGCTCCCCAGCAGACCTGTGCTCCAGACCCTGCCCCAGCTCCGTTGCCCTTCTCTGGCCACGCTCGAGTCATTCAATGGCCTTTTTGGGGTGAGGGGCCCAAAACTGAATACAGGAATTGAGGTGCGGCCTCACCAGCGCCAAGTACAGGGGTGAGATCCCTTCCCTGTCCCTGCTGGCCACGCTATTGCTGACACAAGCCAGGATGCCATTGGCCTTCTTGGCCACCTGGGCACACTGCTGGCTCATGTTCAGCCGGCTGTTAATCACCCCCCAGGTCCCTCTCTGACTGGCAGCTCTCCAGCCACTCCTCCCCAAGCCTGTAGCGCTGCTGGGGGTGGTTGTGGCCCAAGGACAGCACCCAGTATTTGGCCTTATTGAAGCTCACACAGTTGGCCTCAGCCCATGGCTCCAGCCTGTCCAGGTCTCTCTGCAGAGCCTCCCTGCCCTCGAGCACATCAACACTCCCACCCAACTGGGTGTCGTCTGCAAACTGACTGAGGGGGCACTCGATCCCCTCCTCTAGATCATCCATACAGATGTTAAACAGGAGTGGCCCCAAAACCGAGCCCTGGGGGACACCACTCGTGACTGGCCACCAGCTGGATTTAACTCCATTTACCACAACTCTCCGGTCGTCCAGCCAGTTTTTTTACCCAGCGAAGTGTGCGATTGTCCAAACCTTGAGCAGTCATTTTTGCCAGGAGAATGCTGTGGGAAACAGTGTCAAAAGCCTTGCTAAATTCAAGGTAAATTACATCCACAGCCTTTCCCTCATCCAATAAGCAGGTCGCTCTGTCATAGAAGGAGATCAGGTTTGTCAAGCAGGACCTGCCTTTCCTACACCCATGCTGACTGGGCCTGAGCATCTGGTTGTCCTGAATGTGTTGTATGATGGTGTTTAGGATGAGCTGCTCCATCAGCTTCCCGGGCACCGAAGTCAAGCTGACAGGCCTGTAATTTCCTGGATCTTCCTTCCAACCCTTCTTATAGATGGGCGTCACATTGGCCAATTTCCGATCAGTCAGGACCTCCCTGGTCAGCCAGAACTGCTCGTAAATGATAGAAAGTGGTCTGGCGAGCACCCCAGCCAGCTCCTTCAACACCCTTGGGTGTATCCTGTCTGCTCCCATAGACTTGTGTGTGTCTATGTGATGCAGTAGGTCACTGACTGTCTCCTGGATTGCAGGGGAGTTGTTCTCCCAGTCTCTGTATTCTGGCTGTGGAGGCTGGATTTCATCAGTACAACTAACCTTGTTATTAAAGACTGAGGCAAAGAAGGCATTAAGCACCTCAGCCTTCTCCTCATCACTTGTTACCAAATTTCCTCCTGCATCTAGCAGGGGATGGAGACTCTCCCTGGACTTTCTTTTCCTCCTGACATACTTATAGAAACTTTTCTTGTTATCCTTGATTGCAGAGGCCAAATTAATTTCCAGTTGGGCTTTAGCCCTTCTGATTTCCACCCTGCACAGCTTCGCAGCATCTTTGTAATCACTGTGTGTGTCTAGCCTCTTTTTCCAAAGGCTGTAAACTTTCCTTTTCTCCCTGAGTTGCAGCCAAAGCTCCCTGTTCACCCAGGGTGGTCTTCTCTGGCATCAGCTTCTCTTAGAGCACCTGAGGACTGCCTGCTCCTGAGCCATTGACACTTCCTTCTTAAAGAGTGTCCAGACTTCCTGGGCCCCTATACCCCTCAGGAGAGTCTCCCAGGGGATCCTTTCAATCAGGTGCCTAAAGACAAAGTCAACCCTTCTGAAGCCCAGGATGTCAGTCCTGCTTAGCTCTCTCCTGACCTCTCTAAGAACAGAGAACTCTATTATTTCATGGTGGCTGTGCCCTAGTTGGCCTCCAACCTCCACGGCATCCACCAGCCCTTCTCTGTTCACAAAGAGGAGATCCAGCAGGGCACCTTCTCCGGTCAGTTCATCAGCTGCATCAGGAATTTGTCTCCCACACATTCTAGGAATCTCCGGGACTGGTCTCATTCTGCCGTGTTGTATTTCCAGCAGATGTCTGGGAATTTAAAGTCACCCACAAGAACAAGGGCAAGCGATTGTGAGATTTCACCTAAGTGCCTATAAAATATCCATCTCTTTGTCAGCTTTGCTTTTATTTTGTGGCTTCCTGAGAAACCCAGCTATAGCTATGTTTTTTTTCCCCTTACTTCTACCTCAAGAGAACGTGCCTCAAGAAGACAGGGAGTCCGTCCTGATGATTCTTCCTGACAGCACAGAGATGAGGAACAGTTAGCCTGGGCAGAGTGAAGATGCAGGTGAGAACTTCAGAGAGACACATAGGCAGGAGCAGCAGCAGAGTGACAGAGAAAATTATTAGATGTGTGATAATTCCATGCAGTTTTTAGTGCAAGTGATGAATTTTCATCATGCCCTCACAGCTGCCCCTTCAGGCTTTACGAAGGGTGAGGTTGGCCACCCCCATGCCTGAATGCATCATCTGTTAATAGAAGGGGGAAGGAATAACCTCAGTGCCCAAAATGTTTGAATTCGTACATAAAAAGATGTGGGGTGGATGTCAGATTTTTGCATTGAAACAGCTGTCCTGACATTTAGAGAATTTTTGTGATTTCAGGCAGGATTTAACAGGTCTCACTTGCAATGAAAAGCATCTGAGATCCCTTTCTCCTCCCTCTACTCAACAGTGTATCTCTGAACAGACACAGCTTTCTCTGCTCTTATCCCTAAAGACTTTATGGTGTAGTGGTGAGAAGAATTTGGATCTTTATTTGACAAAGTGGAAGCTGAAGTCCTGAGAGATTTCAGCCCCTTGGTGATTTGTAAAGTCTCTCTAGAGGGCTGTAGTAGCTTTGGGTTTAGACACCTTTGACAATTTGGCTTGTTCAAGATTATATAGAAAGTGTGGAAAAGAGGAGACATCAAAGGCAGCCTCCTCAACTGTAGCATAGCACACTGCCCTAAATTCATCCTCCCTTCCCATTTTTTTTTTTTTTTTTTTTCAAGGCAGCACAAGGCTGGTGCTCTGCATCTCTTGAGTTTCTTGTGCTTGTATGTTGTGGTGCAGTTATTTTGTTTCCTGTTGTGGGTTTGAGCACTTCCAATTGACTTCTTTACCTCTTGATCTAGAGCTGAACAAGGAGTAAATCAAGAGATACAGACAGCTGCACAGACCTGAATATGCTCATTACAGAACATTGTCTCCCAGTTACATTTCTCACCACTGAAGTGGCAAGTGTGAAGTCCACACTCAGGTAAGTGGTTCTCATGGATGTTGTGCTTGTCAAGTGTTTAAGATCTCTTGAGGTGAAAGGTCAAGGAAAATGGATTTGCACCATATCATGATTAACATATTTTGCATGTGGTACAGTTTTAGGGAGAGAGAGGAGATGGTGCTAAAGAGGTAGAATGCAGCATCAGTAAAACCAGATAATTCTTTCCAAAGATGGAAAGCAAGGAGGAGGTTGTGCAGAGGGCAGATGTGAAGATGTGAAGTTAAACACATCCATAGTCATGCACAGCCATGACCAGTCTTCCTTGAACCTTTATGTCCCTCTAGCTTGTGAGCTTCGATCACCTCCAGGCAAGAGGGCAGGGTGTTGCTCTGAACCCAACGTAAATTTAGCTGGTAGGTTGGGCCAGCAGGGAACAATCGAGCAGTCAGAAGCATCTTTTCCCCTCGGGAGTTAGAGTCTCCACTCTTGTCACTCTCTTGTAATCAGAGGCAAGAGATGAGGGCCTAGTTCTTCCATACATTGTGTGCAAGATGGTGGTAGATGGGGAGTTACAGGTTCAAAACAAGTTGGCTTGCACACCAGCCACAGAAAAAGTGAGTAGTTATTTTCTTGCAAATCCATGATCTGTTGTTTGCCTCTCAGATATTGCCTGGTGGTTTATTTTGGGAATAGCAGCAAGGCAGCAGCAAGATTTACATCAGTGTTCAGGTGCATCCTTTGGTAGAACTGCCAGATGTGAGCTTGAAGTGAAATATGGTGAACTCCTGATCCACAGAAGTCAGAGGTATACTGTGGCTGACCTCCACCTATCCAGCAATTAATTGATGTGTGGCAGCTGAGAAGTTGCAAATGTAATTTTAAGTCTCATCTGATACGCCTGCACAGCCAAAAGGCATTACCTATACCAAGCTGCAGGCCGTGCAAAAGACAGAATGAATATTCCAATTAAATTGCTGAGCTAATAGCAGGACTCATGGCTGGTGAATAGTCTGGCTAGTCATCAGGGAAGCAAAGTCCATCCTTGGGTAGAATGTCTTCCATGCTGTCTTCCTAAGCAAAAAGCATTCCAGAA